CTTTAGACTAAAATCGTAGTATATTTTTTGAAAAAACTACGAACTTTAGTTACGAATTCGTCATGATAATCGATATTTTCTTGGCAGTATATTTAAGATCCTGTTTAAGTCAATAGTTTAATAAACATTAAATTTATACTGTCATAATACTAAAAAAAAGTTGGATAAAAATTGATCTATAACACTAAAAGTTTTTTTTATTCAAATTTGAAACTTACCATTGACAATATAAATATAACACAAGTTAAGTAATTCATGATGATTGAAGTTCTCTGTCCAATTAATGAAAACTTAAAATTTTGCTTGTATTTATCACTTGAAAAATACTACACTAATATAATAAAGCTGAAGTTTGTTTGGTTGTTGAAATGCGCTAAATATATTTTATTTATTTGTAAGGTACAGCTACAGAAAACATACTTTTATAACAATAACGTCCTTGCGGTCTCCAGGTCAGGCTCTAAACGGTCTGCTATCCCTGTCTGCCTCTCCAGGCATACATGAAAACGCCTCGCTCAACTGCCATACTCCCTCCACTTATTCACTCTCAAAATGATACACAAAAAAAGGAAAAAAGTTAAACAGCGGTTACACGTCCTCCCACTCAAAGTGCACCTCACCAACATACGAGGACTGCACTCCAATCTCTCTGCAGTCCACCACCACCTTGAGACTGAGAAACCGCAGCTGCTGTTCCTCACAGAGACGCAGATCAAATAATGTCCAGCTGACGCAGCGTACTTGCTCTACCCTCGGTACACATTAGAACACAAATTCCATGCCCGGGCGGGAGTCTGCATCTATGCTCGCGATGACATTTGCATCAAGCGTCTCAAATGCCTGGAGGTTCCTGGATTCTCTGTAATTTGGGTTTTAGTTAACACAGGCCTAGAGAAAATACTCTATGCCTATGTCTACCGTTCGCACAGCGGAGACCTTGAGACAACCCGGCTGTTCGACTACCTTAGCCAATCAGCTGATAAGGCACTAGCCCGATACCCCTCTGCGCAGTTGGTCATTTTGGGAGACTTCAATGCACACCATCAGGAATGGCTCTTTCCATACCAGGTGACCGACCACGCTGGGAGAGAGGCACGTAAACTCGCTCTGACGCTGGATCTCTCCCAATATACTGTACAACCAGGGTCCCGGACGTCGACACTCACACAGCCAACTGCCTTGACCTTCTGCTGACATCTGATCGAGACAGATATTCCATCCTGGTTACTGCTCCTCTTGGAACTTCTGACCACTGCTTGGTGAAAACTGTAACGACATACTCCCCACCCCATCCAATCGTGGCCCTTGTGGAGTAAGACGAGTATGGCGATACAAGTCAGCAGATTGGGACGAGATGCGTCAGTTTTTCGCATCTTTCCTTTGGAGGCCGGCATGCTTTTCTTCTCGAGACCCAACGAGTTGCGCCGATGCCATAACAGAAGTTATACGCCTGGGTATGGAATTCTTCATTCCTTACTCAGACGTCGCCTCAGGTAGCAAAGCTCGCCCTTGGTTCGATGCTGATTGCCGTCATGCTGAAGCGTGTAAGCAGTCAGCGTTTTTGGCATGGGCTGATGCTCGAACGCGCGACTCACCGGACACTCGCAATCTGAAGAAAGCCTACAACCAAGCCTCCAAGTCTTGCAAAAAGGCGTTACGCAGGGCTCGCTATGATCATATTGGACGCATTGGCACCAAACTTGCTTCTTACCCAGCCGGGTCCAAAGCGTTTTGGTCCCTTGCCAAGGCCATCCAATCAAACTTCTATCGCCCCAGCCTGCCACCACTGCTGAAACCCGATGGCTCACTGGCTCACTCTGCTGAGGAAAAGGCGAACCTTTTTGCCACCCTGTTCGCTGATAACTCACGTCTTGACAGCGCAGGCAAAACGCCACCCTGCGTGAGGTCCGCATATGGCAGAGAGAGGTTTTAAATGTCTTGCGTTCTCTTGACGTAAATAAAGCCAGTGGACCCGACGGAATTCCGGCAATTGTCCTGCGTAACTGTGCGCCGGAGTTGTCTCCTATTCTGACACGCCTGTATCGACTCTCACTTGAGACTGGACTAGTCCCTAAATCATGGAAGCTTGCAAACGTACAGCCCGTACCTAAAAAGGGCAGTCGTGCTGACCCAACTAATTACAGACCCATCTCTGTTACGTCTATACTCTGCAAGATAATGGAACGTGTCCTCAACGGCCGACTCCTTCATACCTTGAAGAAAATGACCTACTCAGCGACCGTCAGTATGGGTTTCGGTATGGTCGTTCTACAGGTGATCTTCTCGTGTATGCCACACACTTATGGAGCGAGGCCATTAAGAAACATGGCGAAGCCCTTGCCGTTTCACTGGACGTATCAAAGGCGTTTGACAGAGTCTGGCACGGCAGCCTATTAAACAAGCTTCCATCTTTTGGAATCCCTGTTGGCTTGTGCAAATGGATCTCTGATTTTCTTGAGGGACGATCAATAAGAGTAGTCCTTGAGGGCTACACTTCTAGTCAACAACCTATTGACGCTGGCGTCCCTCAGGGTTCGGTGCTGTCTGCAACCCTTTTTCTACTGCATATCAACGATCTGCTCAAACCCGGCACCTTTAGGTACGCAGATGACACGACAGTAAGGTCGAGTCTTGTCGTGAGTCCCTAATTGAACGCTTAAATTTGGCCCTTCAGGATGTCTCTGATTGGGGCGATGCCAACCTGGTCCAATTTAACGCGTCAAAAACACAGGCGTGTCTGTTCTCCGCAAAACGAAGTCCATTTTTTATCGCTCCAACATTCTGAGGCGTGCCTGTCAAAATCACCGAGCGACTGCAACTATTGGGCATTGAAATGTCCAGCAAGCTGAACTTTGGCGAGTACATCGAGTCCATAGCGAAAACTGCTGCCAAAAAACTTGGTATCCTCTCGAGGGCAAGGCAGTACTATCCAAGAAGCAAAGGCTGCAGCTTTATAAAGCACAGATCCGACCTTGCATGGAATACTGCTGCCACCTCTGGGACGGCTCTGCCAAGAAACATTTGGCTGCTTTGGATTCGGTGGAAAGGCGTGCCAGAAGACTTATCGACAGCCCCGCCCTTGTTGAAGCGGCGCTCCAGGAACTTGACCATCGCCGTAAGGTAGCATCCCTATCGGTTTTCTACAGCCTACACTTCGGAGAATGTGCAAAAGAATTACACGAATTAATTCCACCAGCCCCCTTCCATCATCGGGGAACCAGACGCAGGTTAGCGTACCATCCCTATATTGTTGACATTCCACCAGCTCGCACTAAGCGTTTCGATGACTCTTTTATAAAGCGAACAGCTAGGGACTGGAATTCGTTGCCTGCTTCTGTCTTTCCCGAAAACTATAATCGGGGCCTCTTTAAGGCGAGAGTGAATAGGCACTTACAGGGCAGATATGTACCATCCTACGCTGCATCCCACTTAACATCAGGTGCGATTGTGGTCAAATACCTGCCTTGTCATGCATAAAAAAAGTCTGAGCTCCCATTAAGACACACACAATATTCACATAATGCAAAAATAATATTTAACGGGTAATATACAAACAGTCATAAGAAAATAATATTTTTTGAATAATATCTCAGGAACACGATTTGAATTTTTTTTTGGGTTGAATTGAATATGTCATTGGGTTGAATAGCCCAATTATTGAGGAAGGTTACAGGTTTTTCGTTTAAGATGACGCTACGATCATGACCATCAATGAAAAATGTTTTGAAAACGGGAAAATATTCAACTATTTTTACGCGTTCAAAGTCACAGGCACAGCTAGTGTTATATTATTATAAAGCATGAAAATGGTTGCATAATAAAATTATAAGTACATAATATAGGTAGTTAATATGTAAATTATAGTAAAGTGCTTCCAACTGTGACAATATAAATAATTTTTTGGAAAAATTTGCATATTTACGTAAGTAGGTTCGAATGTTTCATTTAAAGAATTGAATAAGGAGTGTAAAATTAATTTAACATCATTTAAATTTAATTTTACACGCATTATTAGATCAGTTTTTTTCCACTTAGCGTCGGAATATGCTTTGCGCATAACCACTAGTCGTTAGGGTCTAACGGCCCTCCAAAGTATGGGTCCGGGTAAATGCCTCGCCAGTCCTCACTTGTGGGGGTTATAAATCGTGACCTGGGTAAATACTTCGACGGCCCCCGGCACACTCAATGAGGATCATTTCGATTTTTAGCTGTGAATGCAGATTTATAGGGCTAAGAAATCCTTAATACACAGTGCAAAAATTTTTGTTCTACGACAAAAATTGACGAAGTTATGGCCAAATTACTAAAAAAGTTCACTGACCGCCCGGCGCGGGGACGATAACGTCATTATATCCGATCCGAACGCTGCCGGCGTACTGCGTGGATAGAAAATATTTTTTTCTAGCCAAATTATCAGTTTTAGAGAAAAACTTGTAATGACATTTATTCATCAGAATAAAGTAAGCTATCGATAGGTAATTTTTTACTTTATTTTGAAGAATAAATGTTATTAAAAGTTTTTTTCTAAAACTGATAGTTTAGCCGGAAAAAAATATTTTCCATCCCAATAGTACGCCGGCTGCGCTCGATTCGGATATAGTGACGTCACGCGGCCTTGCGTACGTTGACTTTTAGCGGCAAAAACGGCCTATGTTTATTACTTAATATCTTCGTAAGTAATGGTCCGATTTGGATAATTCAAAAAGATATATCTTTCTTATGTCTTAAAGATTAACGTAGATACTAGTTTTATTGAATTTTCTACAACAGTACTGATCCTCATTGTGGGTTACAGGTTGCACGACAGGCCCGGTGAGTTGACGTGACAGACCACGCGGACGTTGCTTAGGGTGCACCACGAGGAGGTCCATCTCCTCGCACCCAGGACCGCAGTCCCTAATACCTCCTAGATTTACCTAAATGTCACAAAGTGTACTATGTGACATCATTTAACAGTTTCTATGCCATATTTGCATACATATTTTTTAAACATCCTGACAGCTCATATAAAATTATATCGACTACTTTGGGTGCCTCAAACAATTTGCTCACTTTGACTGGTTAGCTACATTAATAAGAAATATTGAATATCAGATCATTTTGGCTATCTTAGACACTTCGATCTATCTGACGCTGACTGTACAAGCACAGTTTAGTTTAGGACTAGAGGTCTAAGTTACGAAATACTCTTACAATTTATGAAATTTATTAAAAATATCGAGATAGCCCTATCAAGGCAATTCTATTCCAGCTTCGCTGAAGATGCTAGTCCAGAAGGCCACGGCATCAGCGTCGGGATTGCTGTCAGCGCTCAAGGTGGAGTTGATCTTCATGTAGCCTTTGGAAGTCTCGTCGTACTGCGGCCAGACTGCGCCGAGGGAGCCGTCCGGAGTCGGATTTCTGGAAAAATATAAACGGCATAAAAACAACGTTCGATTACTCTGTACTCGGTGAGTCAATCCAAAAAGAAGTCATTCTGGTGCTCAATACTACAACTTTTTGTATAGAACATAAAAACACTTCTCCAATGGTTGATTAGTAATATAATGATCTGCTTCTGGAATTTGTAGGGCTAAGTTAATATAAATTTCCTTTTAAATTTCAATCAGACAAGGCTTTCACACACCTATCAACGTTGAACACTGTGCAGCTGTGTTACAAACAAACTCCCAAAGCACTGTAAGTAAATAGGTATTTAAAAAATATAAAAGCTTACCCATATTTTACGAAGTTTGTAAACAACGTGACAGTCTGGTTAATCAGTCTGTAGATCTCAGATGTTACATTCACTGGAAAACCGCCCTTCGCTACTCTGGAGTCGAAGATATATTCGATATCATCCGAATGGCTCACCCCAACTATCCCATACGGCTCGCCCAATGATGCGTATCGATTTCTATCCGATATGATGAAGAATTTGTAAAAATACCTCTTAATTACAGCGGAAAGGTACTTTAAGAACCTTCTTATTTGATACTCAAATGATTCTTGGCTGAAATACTGAAGAAACTCATACAGTGTGCCATAGCCAATGGCACTTTGGCCGAAATATTTGTCATATATTCTATCAGCTATTGCGTCAAAGTCCAGCTGGGGCGAGCCGTACAGTATAATTTCGCGAGGGATTAGTAGCCTGCGCATTAGACTGTAATTAACAAGAGAACTATTAATGTTTGGCAGTTGAAACAAGTATTCCAAACTAGTGTGCCCCAACAGCAAATCTACTGGAGTGATGTTTCCTCGTTTGAGCGTCTCAATCGGCGACTCAACTAAAAATCGTTTGTGCCCCAAGTCTTTTTCCGGGGCAGGTTGGAACGCTGTCATTTTCAGTCCAAAATTCCAAAATATTTCTTCTGGTATCACGATAGGAAACTTATTGACTATTTTCAAAGCGGGTTGACTTTGTAGGAAGTTCAACATTTCATAAGGATCAGTTGTGTTGCTGCCTAATAACTTACCAAGTGCAAAAGATCTTTTCCTAAGCTCATACGTGACTGCCCATTCGCAAAATGGCACGCCGCTCATGGCTATGGCTCTTTTGAACAATCCTTTGGACATCGGTGACAGCATGTGATACGTCACCGACGCTGACCCCGCACTCTGTCCAGCCAGAGTGATCAGTTCAGGGTCGCCCCCGAATGCAGCTATGTTATCGTGAACCCATTTTAAAGCCAGGCTCTGGTCTTTTAATCCAGCATTGCCAGGAACATCCTTCGTGTCCAGCTTGAGGAAACCTAAAGCATCTAGTCTATAGTTCAATGTGACCAGCACAACGTTCTTTTGAACTATAAAGTCTGGGCCATAAATAAGTGAGTTTCCTGATCCACTTCTAAACGCTCCTCCATGGATGAAAACCATGACTGGCAAAGGTTTTGCTGGTGTCAAGTCAGGAGTGTAAACGTTTAAGTATAAGCAGTCTTCACTGCCCGGGACATACGAATTGATTATTCGATTAAATTGAATGCAGACTGGGCCGTGTAGAAGTGCTTCTTTTATTCCTATCCACGGTTTGACTGGTCTCGGATCCTGGAAAGAAGGGAGTTGTATTTATAGCCAAATAATTGTCTCAAACTAAGAAAAACCCACGCCTAGACCAATACAGAAATGAATGTTGTACAACTAATATTTGTATAAAGGGGATCGAACACACCTCCTCTATATCCGGTATTCGAATCACCAAGCCAGAATGACATCTCAAGAGGACGCATTGCTTAGCCGTTTCACTTATTTATTGGTCTCTGATATTTGCAATAAACACGACAAGTAGTAAATTATAACTGCTACATTTTGTCTTTGTTTTGTGATGCTTAATTTTTCTCTTTCTTATTTTCTTTAAGCAATGATTTTTGTTACCTTGAAGCGCAGGTTTCCGACGGGTGGTTCTGCATATGGGATTCCCTTGAAGCTGTAGTATGACCCTTGGCCGGTAGACAGTGGCAGCAGAGCTCCTAGCAATAGGCCTTCATTTACTTTCACGACTAGCAGCTCTACATTTTTTAACTATGTCAAAAGGGAGGGTAATAATTACAAAAAGTATGTTTTGTTTAAAATAAAAATGGGAAAATAAATAAAAAATCTTTAAATAAAAATTAATTCTGAAACAAAAAATATTATATTTAAATTCGAAACTCACCAACGACAATATAAAAGTAATTATTAAACTTGTGGAATCCATGGTGATTGAAGTTTTGTTCCAGAATAACAAAAACTAGAACTTTTTCTATTATTTATATTTTATATCACTTGAAAAGACAGGTGCAATATTGTTTACCAATATTGTGTAGGTGGTTAACATAACAACAAAAATGTGCATTTATAAAACAAAGAAATTGCAAGGAATAATAAATGTAACAATACCCCACAGAAGTATAATAACCTGGTGTAAAGGCGAGGCAATAGCATTTTACGATACAACACCGATTCAGTCATATTATCACCACAAAATTATCTGGGGGCACGGCAGTGCCCCCACCAAGTCGAGCAAAAAGGCGGCACGGCCGTACCATCCTTTTCTCGAAGCAATTCAGGCCATTTTCGACCGCCTGTAACTTCGTTGTGGATAAAACTAGAAGGCTGAATTTTCATTAGCTATGCAGGCATTGTAAAGACACGGTATATTTCAAATTTCATTTAATTTTAACCAGTAGTTTAAGAATTATAACGGGTCAAAGTTTCTTAATTTTGTCACTCACTGACTGACTCACCGATCATCAAAATTCTAAGGCACTTCTAGCAGACCTAGAAGCTTCAAATTTGGAATATAAGTAGTGTTTGGTGTATGAATCAAGGAAAAACTAAAATATTTGGGGGCACGGTAGTGCAACCGCCAAGTCGAGTAAAATTTTTCAATTTCGGTCCAGTTTTCTAGATACATAACTGCTGTCTACAAAATACAAAAAGAAATGAGATTTGGGGGCACGGTAGTGCAACCGCCAAGTCGAGTAAAATTTTTCAATTTCGGTCCAGTTTTCTAGATACATAACTGCTGTCTACAAAATACAAAAAGAAATGAGATCCCATCAAAAACAATACTTGTCAAAAAAACCAAGTCTCGCAACTCAGTTGTTCTACGGTAAAAAGTTGTGAGATCCATGTAATACCAAGTCCAGGCCAGGAAATCTTTAACGTTTTACATAAATTATTGACTTGGCCATCGCACTAAATAATTTAATTTACACGTGTTTTCATGCGATGGCCAAGTCAATATATATTGGTAGCGGCCTGCGTTAAAGATTTCCTGGCCTGGACTTGGTATTACATGGATCTCACAACTTTTTACCGTAGAACAACTGAGTTGCGAGACTTGGTTTTTTTAACAAGTATTGTTTTTGATGGGATATTATTTACTAGCGGCCGCCCGCGACTTCGTACGCGTGGATCCTGTTTTACCCCCTTCATCTATCTTACGCGGTTAAGATTTTTTCATACAAATGTTTTTCCCGCTAACTCCCGTTCCCATGGGAATTTTGCAATATCCTGTTGTAACTAAGCTTTAAGTTTACTAAGGTACCTACATGCCAAATTTCAAGTGTCTAACTTAAGCGGTTTAGATTTTTCATACAAAAGGATTTTGCCGCTAATTCTCGTTCCCGTAGGAATTCCTAAGTATACTATAACCTGCCCAGGAGTATAAAGAATAATTGTACCAAGTTTCGGTAAAATCCGTCTTAAGTTTTTGTTTCTATAAGGAACATACAGACAGACAGACAGACAAAAATTTTACTGATTGCATTTTTGGCATCAGTATCGATCACTAATCACCCCCTGATAGTTATTTTGAAAAAATATTTCATGTACAGAATCGACCTCTCTACAGATTTATTATAAGTATAGATAAAAAAATATCTTTTATCCTTCTATGATTATACCTACATCTGAATACCAAATGAGGATAATGGTACGTCAAAAATGCTTATTCCCATTGTCCACATATCAGTGTCGCCATCTACGGGAACATCGGAAATAAGTATACCTAGACATGCCAAATAAATAAAAAGTATTTATTTCAGATAACAGGGATCCATAATCCAAAGCAACGTGCCAGCTGTTAGGTAAACGTTTTTTCAGTAAATCATCATCATTCAGCCATTGGACGTCCACTGCTGAATAAAGGCTCCCCCAATAATTTCCATAATGCGGCCTCCTTCCAGCGTCTTCCTGCTATCTGTATGAGGTCGTCGGTCCACCTTGCCTTCAGATAAACAAATTTGAAAGCCCCTTTTTGACTTTGTACATGAAAAAAACACATTAAAAAATTAAGTATGTTTAAATCCGTTGTCTAGTACCCATAGTAGGTACAAGCTTTACTTAGTTTGGGACTAGAAGCGTAGTGTGAAATGTCCAAGGATATATTTTAGTTATTTATTTACATATACAAGAGAAGGTTATTTAACATATTTCACAGGGCAAGTAGGTACTTGTAGGTTCCTTTTGATTGAGTACAATACAGCTCATGAAAACTCAATTTACTAAACGTACCGAATTTATTTTTCAGTGCTCTAAAGGATGGGAAATAATTGATCGATTATTGCATTGCGCCAGTTTAACCCGGGGCCTGTTCGCTCCACAATCCCTACTTGACAGGATTTCGCTTATTTTGCGAACACTCACGAGCTCCTCGGGGCCAAGTGTCTCAACAAATTGAATTTTTACGCCGTCTGTTTGTTAGTCATCTGCAAATAAGAACAGACTACTAATACACATAGACACATCATGTCTAAATTGTAATTATTTAATTGTATTTTGAGATCTAATTCATCATCATCATTTCAGCCATAGGACGTCCACTGCTGAACATAGGCCTCCCCCAATGTATTCCACGTTGATCGATTGGTAGCGGCCTGCGTCCAGCGTTTCCCTGCTACCTTTACTACTATCTAACTGCTGCGGCATTTTTTGATTGTTGCAGTCACGACCATCATCATCATCATCTCAGCCATAGGACGTCCACTCCCCCAATGCTATCCATGTTGCCCGGTTGGTAGCGGCCTGCGTCCAGCGCCTTCCTACCTTTCTGATGTCGTCGGTCCACCTTGTAGGTCACGATACCTAGCTGTATTGTTAGACCGTTGTTGTGGAAATCCGGTACCTATCCAAATCAGCATGCTGGGATCCTACGAAACTTATCTATTATCTCTTTTATAATGCGAACAGCTAGGGACTGGAATTCGTTGCCTGCTGCTGTCTTTCCCGAAAACTATAATCCGGGCCTCTTCAAGGCGAGAGTGAATAAGCACTTACAGGGCAGATATGTACCATCCTAGACTGCATCCCACTTAACATCAGGTGCGATTGTGGTCAAATACCTGCCTTGTTATGCATAAAAAAAAAATTAAAGCTGAGTTGCACCAAGTTACTTTTACGTAAATATGATAATAACCGGTGTTTGACAGATATTTGACGTTTGTTAAAGATGGTGCAACTCTGCCAATAAGAAAACTTTTTTTCAGCATAACAATGTGGCGGACAAAACAAGATTAAAAATGAATGTCTTAAAAATACATTATGCTGAACAGGCGCCCGCTCAGCAAAAATGGCGACATGACACAAACGTCATGTCGAGTCAAGAAGCTGGTTTTCAGTAGAAACGCGTGATGAGGATTGTACGCCCATTTGGTCGATTGTCGAGGCGGTTTGTTAACAGACAGATTAACAGGCAAGGTACAATCTAAGGGCGAGTTGCACCACCTAACTTTAACGGTAACTATAACGATAGTCGGTGCTTTTTGTATGGAGTTTGACAGATTTTTGACGTTTGTTAAAGTTAAAGTAAGATGGTGCAACCCAGCCTTAATTTTTGCGTAGTCTATAAGTCAAACGAGTCTGTGTAAATAAGGGAGAGAACACGGATTCACAATGCTATTATGTAGGTCACTCCGTTGTACGTGATTAAAAGGCTGACGGAAAATTTTGCTTATGTTTATGCCTCGAGGAAAATGTTTGGATTTGCCAGATTTTGTCGGCTTTGAGGCCAAAGGTTTAATTTGACGACTAACTGTGGCACATTTTGATTTATATCTAAATATATATAACTCAAGGGCGACTGACTGACTGAACCACTGAACGGATCGGGCTGTTTGGCATGCAGGTAGATGTTATGACGTAGGCATCCGTTATGAAAGGATTTTACGAAACCTAAGGGGGCAAAACGGGATCCACGCGTACGAAGTCGCGGGCGGCCGCTAGTTATGTAAATAATATAAGTGTAGATATTATACGCCCGTATTCACAAACATTACTATGACATCGCGTGGACGCACAGGGTGACATACGAACCAATCACAGAGCTCTATTCAACGCTGTGCGTTCGATTTGCTGCTTCACTTAAGCAAGTATCGTTTGTGAATACGGGTGATAGTAACCAAAATTTGCTTTACAACATTGAAAATAAAAAAAAGAATATACATATTAAGGTGTGTTCTGGCTTAGGGTGTCATCTAAGTTTTGCTGTCTACTTTGTCGATTAGATTTAATGAAAAAGTAACTAAGCCAGATTATTTATAGCCGAGATACGTATTGGCTATTCTGACAAGCCATTACGTTGTGAAGTTTTATTGATTGAAATAAGTTCAATAGTTTTTTATGATAAAGTAAACAAATATTTATTTAGAATCGGACCCGCGGTTCCATTGGCTGAATGGGGTCAGTAAATGGAAGACTTTCAATTTAATTCACTAATTCAATTCTCCTAACCTATTCTACTTTAAAAAAAAATCTAATCCTATATTTCTGAAAAGATTTTTTAGCCAAACCCTCACAATCACTTTAACTTATAACCACTTTGAAACAGCTAAAATGCCGCTATTAATTATAATGCAACCCGCCCGCTAAACCTAACGGCGGGTTTACCCATTAGTATGCTAAATCGGACCGTGGTGAACAGTGAACACCGAAATGTAGGCAAAGGCTTGAAAACATGTTATTACTAGTCCATGGCTACTGTAAATATTGATTTTTTATGCAGAACAATGGTTCTGGAATGGAGGCCGCGTACCGGAAAACGCAGCGTGAGACGTCCACCTACAAGGTGGACCGATGACATCGCAAAGGTAGCAGGGAAGCGCTGGACGCAGGCCGCTACCAATCGATCAACGTGGAAAGCATTTTTTTTTTTAATCTTTAAATATGGGGAAGGCCTATGTTCAGCAGTGAACGTCCTATGGCTGAAATTATGATGATGATGATGATGCAGAACAAGGCCTATAAAGGCATAGGTATGTTAAGTGAGAGTCTAGGATGGTGATGTCTGCCCTGTAAGTGTTTAGAAGTGTCAAAAGTGGCACCAAATGGTTCGTGTAATACATATTACACTCGGCGCTGGCTAGCCAGTTCCTTTGCCTGACCTTGGCTTGACTGACACTCTCGCCTTGAAAAGTCCCGGATTATAGTGTTCGGGAAAAACAGCAGCAGGCAACGAATTCCAGTCCTTAGCTGTTCGCATTATAAAAAGAGTTATCGATTGCCAAGTTTAATAACTTCGACATCCAATTACTTAGTTAGCCCCAAACTAAGCAGACCTTGTAACATTGCCATTTTCCAATGCGTATTTTTTACATGGCATTCATTCATTTTGCGAGCCATTCTTTGTTAATTAATCAATCATTGTCATTTTAGTCATTCTTTATTTAGGAGCAACTCTACAATCTCTATATTGTTATTTAATACATTTTCGTCATAAGTGAGGTTTGTATGGAAATTCATCCTACTTCCTAATATAAAAGTGAAAGGTCACTGACTGACTGACTCACTCACTCACTCATCACGAAATCTCAGAAACTACAAGTGGAGTCTCAACTTTTGCATGGAACCCCCATGCAAAAGTTTGAAGAACGTAGATTAGAACCGCTTTTAGAACGTAGGTGCTCACTAAAATGGGACTTTGCAAAATTCAATCACTAAGGGGGTAAAACGGGATCCACGCGTATGAAGTCGCGGGCGGCCGCTAGGTACATATTACAAATGCGAAAGTTTGTGTGCGTGCATGTTAGATTGTTGGATATCTGGATGTTAACATGTTTGTTACTCTTTCACGCAAAAACTACCCTTACGGATTTTGATGAAACTTAACAGTATTATTGTTTATAACCCAGAATAACATATATAGGCTATAATTTATGACGACAAACTACATTTCAAGCCGCGGGCAAAATTTAGTATTACAATATTGTAAAAGAACAATAACTATGTATGCTAGATATTAAAAGACCCGATGACCTAGAAGCATCCACTATGTTATTAGGTAATAATAAAGTGTCGCTACCGTTAACCATCTAGATGTCCTAGGCCTCGTATTGTCAATGACGTAGCTCATAAATAGAAATAGAGTATTAGTATTAATTTATCTTATAATACAGGGTAAACAAACAAACAAACACCCTGTATATTTCTTTTTATGACACTAACAGACTTCGTTCTGTCACAAATATTGCTTAGACAACAGTGAGTGCTTGTAATTGAATGTGAACTTTATTGAATAGCAATTAAGTTCGAATTGACTCTACATTTTAGTTAGAAAACGTTTGTAGGGGAAAAGAAAAGGGCTGTCTTTAGGGTTTTCCCGGAAATTTTCGAATTATTCTCGCCCTAAAAACCATCATTCCTTGGACTTCAATACCCTTCTATGATCTGAGGACTTCAACAAACAAAAAAAGAATTGGTGAAATAAAATTGGTCTAGGCGTTGTTGAGTTATGCGCTTACCAACACATTTTGCGATTCACTTTTATATTACAGATTATGCTATAGGCTTTTTAAAACTCTACAAGTAACTGCTTTCTTGAGTGGAGTTTGAAACAACAGATGGTAAAGAAAAAGTGGTCTACTTATCGAACGTCAATTAGATGTCCCATCGATTTCCCCTTCTGTTCTGACACACACAGAACAAATCCCAAAAGATCCGTCATCTTCCATTTATTTGCCCAATTAATTCCCAAATCAAAAATAACAAGACCAATGGCTATTGTTACGTCAAATTGGTACAGAAGGCGCTTTGATCGGCCCAAATTAATTTTACTGAAGCCCAAATATTATACTTTGATCTCTAACAGCCGATGAGCACAAACTGTTATGCCACAATCAAAATTAATGCAGATCGTGGTGCCCTCTGTTTTAAAGGAAAGTAAAATATTAATTATTTGCCTTTACTTCTACCAGACTTCTTCCGGGATAAAAATAACTTATAATAAATTATAGGAGCACATTTTACTTATCTGATCCTACTAATATTATAAATACGAAAGTTTGGATGTTTGGATGTTTGTTACTCTTTCACGCAAAAACTATACTAAACGGATTTTGATGAAAATTTACAGTGTTTATAACCCAGAATAACATATAGGCTATAATTTATGACGATCTGTGACAAACAAAATTTCACGCGGGTGAAGCCGCGGGTAAAATAGCAAATAATTCTTTGAAACCACTTTTTTAGTTTGCCATGCACGTGAAGTGTTTTCAAAGAGAAACTTTCTGTGCCAGTTCAAAATTCAGGTGGGCGAAGCGGGCAGGACCTAGTTTTGAATAAAACCGTTTTTTTTGTAAAGTGTATATTATTTGATTCTGAACTATTTTCACTTTGCGCGCGGCTGGTATACAATGGTAGCGGAGGGATAGTGGGGGCGGTCGAGCCCTGGGGGGAGCAGCGTCCGGATTGTGATGAGCACCCTCTCGATGTGCGGCAGACACGTCACCACCGCCATGCAGCGAGTAGGGCTCAAGATCTTCTGAACTGCACGCCCGTCCACGAGCAACTGAAAGAGAATTGTTGTTCTTAGAAAACTAACGTTCGTTTGTCGTTCACCTAGGATAACGAAGAATCTAGTCTGAGTAAGTAACGTAGCTCTAGCTCCCATTCCCGCTGAACACTCTGTGCAGATGCCCAAAGTTCTACGGTCAAGACAACCTTTCAATATTAACAGTTAAACATAATCGCTGAAAAGCGCCATAATTTTACATTTTCCCTTTTTAGACACAAAGGAGCCCGCCTCATTGATCATTGAAAGCTCAGTTATTAGTTAAAGACATCTTTGGAACTGAAAATACAGACCATCTTGTCTTAAAAAACAATTCAAAGTAGATTATTATTACTTACCTCATACCCTTGAACTCTTGACACGTTTGGAGGTGCTTTCCATTTGACAAGAACCGTGTGATCTGAAACTCTTCTGAGGCCAAGAAACTTCACCTTAAAAGTATCACAGCTACTTTTTCCCATCTGTGAAAATTTGTTGAAAGTATAAATTACAGGACAACGTGAAAGAGGTTATTTAGTTACAATCTTTGTTAAATTTTGCCATAATGTTACACGGCGGATTATAAATTCCAATAGCGACAACATTATAAAAGTTATTTTAAAGAAATGGCTTTTCCGGACATAGGCTCGGCAAGAATGCTGTTACACCAAGTGGAATATTTACCAGAGAAAAAGTATTATCCATGCAATCCACCGCTTTTTCTACGCTACTTGTTACGTTGCAAGTTTGAGACGACGCAACGTTGAAGCTTTTTGTTTTCAAATCTAATTTACTCTGAAAACAAAATAAAAACGTTTTAATAATATACAACCCGGTCGTGTTATAGTTCCAAAATACTGAACTGTCCTATCGATGACATTGACAGCGGGGCGCCACCGTCAATACCGAATCGCTGGTTCCGATTTTTGCCATGTTGGAAACCATAAAGTTGAACGATGGTAGCGCCCCCTTGTCATTGAGTTTGGCGGGACAGTTCAGCGTGGGTCATCTATAACTGCGCACCTGACAGCCGTGATGTCACATCGACGCTATGGTACAGACCGGACGGGGTGAATGAGGGGGAAAGTGACATTTCAACGAGGTGCGCAGTTAACTCAATCGGGTTGTATTCATAAATCTGATTAAAGAAATTGTTTACGTGGCTTACTTTTATCATCGGACTTCTTATTTTGCTCGCCGATTCATCCGACGATTGGGGCACTGACGATTCCCACAACCTATTCACCTCTGTTTGCAATTTAAGCTGAAAACAATATATAAATTATTATAGTATTTAGACAGGTTTATGCCTGAGGAATGTTTATGAAAATAAAAAGCTCACCAAAGCTTTATTTCCATGGCCTGTGACTTTTACTTCATTGTTCGCGTCAGATCTTCCCGCCTCCCCACTCTGCCTGTATATAGCTCGAAGAGTATCTTTTACTTCCAGCAGCAATGGTGGCATTATGGAAAACCCTTTATTTTTCAAATACGGTGAATTTAATATGCAATTTTTCTTAAGTATCGACCAAGATGAATTTTCCAGTCTTTGACCAGCCTGAAAAGAAAAATTATAAAGTACCAGCCAAAATCTTCCTAATTTTTTAGCAAATTCGATAGAATATCAGAGAAATACATCATCAAACAATATCAAATTATAGTAAGTATAATGCTAATCGAACCTGTATCGGTTGTGTAAATCTTGAATGCTCATAGCTCCCCAACATATCGGTAGAAGTTGAGGTAGTCTCGCGTTTTTCTCTTGGGAATTGCTCATCTTGAGTAGTACTATTCGTAATTAGAGCCCTACTGCTAACCTGAAAACTTTGAGGTTCCAAATTCTGCCGTGTCCCAGTACAAGTTGCAGAAGCTAAGTTAATTAGTGCCTCTTTTAATTTCAACCTTTTGTATAATATCAAAGATCTAGGAACCCGTAGTCTATTACCACTTTTGACATTCTTTTGAGTTTTATTAGAACGACACCTGTGCTTACAAAATTTATACTTTTCGTCCAAATCGCCATCAATATGTTTATCGGACTGTGAGCTATGATCAATGGGAATATTCTCTTTACTTAGTTGATATGAAACATTTTCTTTATTTTGTTGCTTATAAGTACTTTCATAACTAATCAAATCTTCATCTACAGCATGATCAATTTCACTATTGATAAGTACAATTTTATTACTGCAGTCAGTTTTCTCATCCATCTCAAATTTTTCGTGCTTGTTTTTGTTTGTTGCTGTCACATTTAAATTATGAGACCCATACTTTTTTACTGGATCATACGGTGAGCGATCATGACCAACGTGAGAAAATAATTCTTCATAATATGCATCACTGTTGATTGATTGATTTATTTCAATGTTGTACGTGCTTTGCTCAAGGTTTGTGAAGAGTTTTGGATTGCTATAAATATTCATTCCTATACTATCCTTCAGAGACTTATTTTCTAATTTGTTATTAGCCATTTGATAATCTTTTAACACTTTTGTAAGTTCAACTGAAAAAGCCTTTGCTTGCTGTAATGTGTTTGTTACTTTTTCGAAGTCTATCTCAATGTCAGAAAAATCCTCAGTACAATTTTTATAACAGTTTTGAAATGATGTAACATTTTCTTTGTTGTCGTTTCTAATTATTTTTCTTTTGATAATCGAGTTAGTTGGGAGACTAATATTAGCCTTTGAGGGTCTTAATGTTGAATCATGGTTTGACAGCTTGGGTTGCATCAAGGTCGAAAGTCTTTTGTTTGCATTTTGTAAGGAAGTGACCAAACTGCGTGATAAGTCGTTAATGTTAGTTCTTTTACTGCTCTCATCGCTTCTATTTAATTTATTGTCTAAACACAGAGTTGGAGAAGCTTCAACGTTACATTTATCCAAAGTTACTGGTGAATTGATCCCTTCAAATTCGTTTGTCATAGAATGGTATTTTTCTGTGCAGTATTGGTAATCATCATAGTTTGGGTTAGTTTTAAAAAATCGCTGTATCGTGCTGTTTTGCGATTCAATGGGCTTATGAAAGTTTTTAAAGCTGTTGCTGTTTTTTATGTCACACCCGATATTATCATCTAAACATCTGTTTAGTGGAACATGCATTGCAACATTGTTATGATCTGATTCATTGTGTGTTGTGGCACATTCAAATAATGGTTTACTTTGATTTTTGAGATCTATGGAGGTCAATATTGGTTGAAAATTTAACATTTTAGATGAGGAAGAGATGAAGCTCCCAGATGAGTCATACTCGTGTGGTCTGCAGTAAGACTGCACTATATTTTTTTCTTTGTTTGGTCCATGGTCTCTATAGTCTATCCAATATAGCTTGATTAGAATGACGGCTGTCAAACGAATGTGACTAGTGATGGGTATGTTTCGTACGGTTCACATAGATGTATCGATAAGTTTTCGAAAAAATGATATGAAAAAATGCACCCAATTTTTCTTCATATATCTTTATTCATAAAAATGACAATTATGATTTAAATTTAAAGACAGTAAAATTTAAAATTCATGTCAAGGGTGTACAACCTAAGTCGTAGTCATTATCATCAGTGTTCTTCAGTGGTTTTTTCCTCTCGCTAGAGGGCGGTGGGCATCTCTTCTAGAGCAACGGTGCTATGAATACCCAAAAAATACCGGTGATTGATNTGCGTGCGGTCGTTGCGCGTGCGCACAAAGGAATGAGACCGCTCGGACACCGAGCCCACAGCGTGGTAGGGGTGGGGTTGCCCGCTCTTTTGTTTTTTAATACTACTACGCTGAATATTGTGTGCGGATTGGGTTGTCGTACAGGGGTACTACATGGTAAAATAAATCTCGGAGGCGAAAGCAGGATAAATAAGATTTAAGGCGTCCACGAAACCGTTTCGGATAATTTAAGACGCTTGTGTTTAATGAAAATTCGGAATTGACTCGATAACATAGTGTTAACGAGCAGTGGAATAGAGATGTCTTAGAGTTATTTTGTTTTAATTGAGATGCATGGCAATGGGAGAAATTATATCGCTTTCTTGGAAAAGGCAATTTTAATAAAACAAGAAAAGGCATACTTACTATATCGTGTAACTAATTTTCCTGCGCCATCTGACAATGTCATGCATCAGTGATGAAACAAGAATTATCTTCAGCCAGAATTATTCGTGGTGTAGTGTGTACGCATCCTTTCCCCATATTAGGCATAAACCACTAGTATATAAGCTTAGGATAATCTTCATTCTGACGATTAAACCTACAGTGCGCACATCTAACTGTTTTATTGTGTCTCCCGAACGTCACACATTACATGGCGACCCTGCCAGTGCTGCCCACGGGCAGCGCTGCGCAATCAATCATTAATTAAATAAAAAGTGAATTTGCGAATAATATTTTAAAATATGTGAACGGACTGAATTATAAAAGACTTTCGTCTACAAATCAAATATGAAGTGAACATTTTTGGTGAATTATGGAGACCACATTTTGGATGGCGTAAGATGAAAGAAATGCAGCCGCGTTAAACCTATAAATAAATGAAGAAATTTTGAAACTGTGCTGGGCGTAGCTGCCGGGTGACGATGGTGAAATGTTTTTTGGTTTTTAATAGTGAACATTTAGAAAAACGCATAACTTGACTTAAATATGTTAAAAAATGAGTTAGAAAAAAAATTTGTTAAATATGTTAAAAAAATAGTTTTAATTTAATATGACATTTGTCGATATGTCCCAACACTAACATTTTTGTAACTCGAGATAACCTTGTAGAGACGTCGTTAATACTCTAGCTTGATTTTTATAATTTCGAATTACTACTTATTGGTGTAATTTAACGCTGCATTTACACGAAATTATCATTTTTATTGGAAGCACTGTCGTCGAAAATATTGTTTGTAGGTCAGACGTGAATTATTTCTTGTCCGCCAATATTTTGCTCTCAATGATCGCTACTACAAAGTTATGTCGTTACTTTTGATGACAGCTGTCATTCTAATCAAGCTATATTGGATAGACTATAAATTGAGAGTTGTTTGATATCAAAACTTGGGTACTTTTTCTTACTGGATTATCTTTTAATTCTTTCTCACTAGGAGAATTATAAGTTGCTAAATTTTGTCCAGATTTTAAGTGTATAGCTTGTTCTTTTACGGGTTGTTGTATCCTTGATGTTAAATACGTATTATGATCAATCTGGTTAGCAAAATATTTGCCAGTCATGTCCTTATCATACTTAAAAGGTGAATAATTGTCTCGGTATCGGTTCGCAGCTTCATTTATAAGCTTACTTTGGTCCGAGCACATTTGACAATTACAACTTGAGCAGTAACAACCATCTCCAGTGCATTTGTACATCATTTTCTGACAGTCAATACACTCGCAAAGACTGCATTTACAAGCGTTGGTAGGTATCTTGTTTTTAAGTACAACGTTGTAAGGTCTATTTTCATCATTACTGGTGGAGGGTATGGATAAAGCATCACATTTCAGACACTGACATACATTGCATTCACAACTATTATTATGATACAAACTATCTCTAGTTTTGTTAGTGTAGTTACATATTTCACATTCGCAAGGAGAACATTTACAAGCTCCTAAATTACGAGAGATAAATGGTTTCTGTTTTGCTAAAGTTCTGTTGTTTTCTTTACAAATACAAACAACGCATTCACAGTCACCACAATTGCAAGACTTATTCTTATTATCAGATTTTAAGAAATTGTTACCAACTGCTGCAAACATTGCTATGGTATCGTTATTGTGTTTACTTTTTCTTTCAATCACATTATTTTTTATTAATGCTCTATGAATGTCGTAATCACGTATATCTTTTTCTACTGGCTTTCGCATAAGTCTTTTCTGTATGTCACACGTACAGGAGTTGCTGTCATGTGTCTCACAGGATTGGTTTACACAAGTATCACAGGAGCAATTAACAGGCCTGTTAATGCCAGTGCCCATTTCACGCCTTAGACTTGATGCCATTTGAAAATCTTGGCCACATTCTCCACAATCACACGGAGAGCATTGGCAATAGGCTCGCGGGATTTCTTCTCTCATTGATGCCACTACAAGAGTATTATTTTTTCTGGGTTTATTAACAGAATATGATCTGCATTCTAGACATTCGCAAGGCTGACAGTTGCAAGGTCTAGTAAAGCTGTCTGTGCATTTAAGACAGTCACACGGGTCGCAATCGCAATAAGCTAGCGGCCCTTTTTTGATTACACCCTTGCAGTCTCTTCTATCACATCGTATACATGGACAACCTAAGTACAGTTGTTGAATTTTGCCTTTATAATCGAAACTTTTTAATAATGACGCACAATCCTTACATTCACAGGGTTTGCATTTGCAATATTCATTGCGCGTTGTTGTCTTACCGATTAAACATTCGCATACTTTGCAACTACACGCTCTGTATGCTTCTTTTATTCTTCTGAATATATCATAACGAGACAGCTTCGTAGGTTTTGGTGAAAGAGTTTCTGGTTTAGTATGAGAGATTGATTCGGTAAAATCTTTGTACGGCACATTCATAATTTGTGCACTTAACTGAGCCGCATTCGTATCAAATTCTTTGCGAGAGCTAGTGACGGTCTCGCTTAGAGAATATGTGGGTTGTTCAGTGGAAAGATCTGTTCTATCATCATCTGTATTGTCCCGGTTTTCTAATGCGGGTATACAATAATTATACGAATATTTTGAATGCTTTTTTACAGTGGACAAGACGTTATTGTTATTGTTATATTCGTAAGTAATTTCTTTTTTGACGTGCTCTTTGAGAGCGCTGTCTTTTTCAGATATTTTAACGGTTTTTAAGGAATATTTGCTTTGGCAATTACTGTATACTTGTTTCTTATTCCCCTGGCAATCTTTCTGAGCTTTGTCTTGTTTACACGGACACCATCCTTTGTTTCTTAATGCAAAGCATTCGAAAGAATCGCAGTTTGTGCAGGAACAAATCGATACGTTTTCGTCTTTTGGTGGTGTGTTTATGTTGTATTTTTTAAATGGATTTTCGCAACAGGTGTTGTTTTTCGAATTGGATAGTTTCATGCTGGCTTACGTGCTTCTTTGGGGGTTATTTAGATATCGGCTCTTTTTTCGGTCGTGTGATAGATGCTGCACTGCGACAACATACATTTTCTGACTTCACGACCTGCAAAATAGTTTGAATTTACAATCTACCGTTCCACATTACACGCGCTTACTTGTTGAGAAACTGCTCTAGCAGTTAACAATGGCAGCTTCAAGTTGTGGACTATGACTACAAGAGCGATCCGGGTATGGTGGATCTAAGGAATACCCAAGACAACTTGCAAATCTTGCAATATTATAATAATAGTTATGATCAACCCAAGATAACAATCACTGATAATGTAGAAGAATACCTTTATTTATTTACCTACCTTAAAGCCCATGGAAATCCATGGCACATTTTATTTTTACAACTGAAATTTTTCTCACATTATTCTTCGTGTTGCCCAAAAATTTGGCAGAACTTCAAAATTGACGGTTTGACAGGTTTAATCAGAGACTGCTTTTAATCTTCTAGATTAAAAAAACAAAGTAGGCCACAAACAAACTATGGCAGCCTATGGTTATAGTTCCGATTTTTACTATAGTTCCAAAATACTGGACTGTCCTGTCGATGACATTGACAGTAGGGCGCCACCGTCAATACCGGATCGCTGGTTCAGATTTTAGCCATGTTGGAAACCATATAGTTGAACGATGGTAGCGCCCCCCTGTCATTGAGTTTGGTGGGACAGTTCAGCGTGGTTCATCTATACTAGACGTTTCACAATCGTTGCACTCAAAAGTAGGCCTTAAGAAAATGAGCCCTAGCACGTGCCTATCAGCCGTGCCAGCTTCCCTTCTGTAATCAAAAGTTTGTAATAACGTAATTACTGCCACCTGCACCTAAACACTTAAACTACTCGCAGTGTTAATTAAACAAACAAAATGTGAGCAAGTTTATATGGCGGCCTTAGTTTTAATGTAGGTTCGGGCCAACATAGCTGAGTGAGCTGCCTTTCAAATTAAAGTACCTACGAGAGCACATCAAGCTACTATCTTATGGAGTTGAAATAGATGCGATTTAAAAGTGTACGAGTACAAGCAACAAACGTAGGTAACTACAACATAGCAAATACAGTGTGCGAATTTCGCCCGAATTCACAAACATTAGGTCTCATAGTGCGCGTGGACGCACAGGCTGACACACGAACCAATCACAGAGCTCTATTCAACGCTGTGCGTTCGATTTGCTGCTTCACTTACCTATGCAAGCATTGTTTGTGAATAGGGGCGTTTGTTATTAACCTATTTCTACTATCATCATCATTAACATTTCAGCCACAAGACGTCCACTGCTAACTTTGATTGCTCCAAGTTGACTTACTGAAAATACATACCAAATACTTTAGTGCTCAAAACAACACATTGTGTGTTCTGCTAATTATTACGAGCTACATAAACGGAAAAACGCAAATACTAAGAAGTCGTAAATAAAAATAATAAACCTTTTTTGAAAAGCATGCTTTTAAGCCTAGGCGCAGACCATCGATTTTTCGTCGGCCGATAATTTAGTCGGGCTGTTGATCAGTATGGGCACGTATGGGAGTGCGCACACTACGCCGATTCGATTTGGCTGATTCTTCATACAATTTGAAATCGGGCACAACTATCGGCCAACTAAAAATCGGTGGTCTGCGCCTAGTCTTAATGTTATAGACTTCATAAGATGTTGATTATAATTATTATCTAATGGCTCCTCTTTTCTGTTACAGATCGTAGCGGCAGGCTCCGGTAAAGCCGGTAAGTACTGCAATGTTAGCTTTTTGTTAAAATATTACTTTATCGTGTACCTACATTGGCGGAAGTTTTTCAATTTCTTATTGGTAGTTGTCTGGCTATCGAGGAAATTTTAGAGGCGGAGTTTTAAGAAGAAATTTGTAATTTAGATACAAAATTAGGTATTACTCTTTTTAGGGGTCAGGGCCCTTTGGGAACTCTTTGTTAGTTAAGAAGTAACTAAAACTTAGTGATCACTACTAGTTAGTTGATCTTATTATTATTGAAATATCTTAAAATTATCTTGTCATTATTTTTTAACCAAAAACATTCAATGTTCCAGTTTAGGTATTGTGTAGTATGTACGCATCCTTTCCCCATATTAGGCATAAACCACTAGTATATAAGCTTAGGATAATCTTCATTCTTACGATTAAACCTACAGTGCGCACATCTAACTGTTTTATTGTGTCTCCCGAACGTCACACATTACATGGCGACCCTGCCAGTGCTGCCCACGGGCAGCGCTGCGCAATCAATCAATCAAACAATAAATTAATTATGTGAATTTGTGAACGGACCGAATTACAAAAGACTTTCGTCTACAAATTAAACATGAAGTGGACAATGTGGTGAATTATTATGGAGACCAAATTTTGGATGGCGTAAGATAGAAGAAATGCAGCCGCGTTTAACCTATAAATGAAGAAATTTTGAAACTGTGCTGAGCGTAGCTGCCGGGTGACGATGGTGCTGGAGGACATTGGCTGACGTGAGAGGATATTTAGCTGCCGGGAGATGCAGAAGGTGCGTGATGATGGATTGGCGCTGGGTTGTGAAGATAACAAGATGGAAGTTTGGAACACGCACACGTGACCAATATGTTTAACCTTTTATTATTTTAATTAATATTCTTAACTTCGTATAAGTGGCCACTATACATAAATTATTGAAAATCATTTATCTTTGTAATTAAGGTCATATAAAAGTGTAATGACTTTTTTTTTTCACGTATGTACTTATTCATAATAACGTAGACGAATCATTTTTAATTAAATTAATATTGCAGTAAATATTGTCATACATAATACGTGGAGATTTTCTATTGACATTTTAAAATATCGTTTATAATTTTATGGAAAATACTTAATGGAAATTTTGCAATTTATTTTTATAATTATGTGAAATCTTTTACATACATAGTACAAAGCTTGGTAACACAATTTTATTAGATTTACCTTGAAAATAATATATGTTAAAAATTATTCTGATATTATAAACAATTTTGAATATAAAGAAAAGTTCAACTTTATATTGCTGGTAATTAAAACTTTTAAAAAATTCATAGGTACTTAATGCTACTTCATGCAGTCGATTAAAGGTAAGTTATTTTAATAACTTTAACTAATAATTTAATTAGGAGACATTTCTTAAAATGTACTACATTCTCCATATTAATTATCGAATCATGCCGATTTAGGTATTCTGCGAATCTAATAATTAATTTAAATTTTATTTCTTTGATCATTTTCACGTAACTGAAACATTTTAACAACAATCACAATCATAATTCAGTAAAATTTAAATAAATANTTCTATTTTTAAACTAGTTTTGTTGAATATTACAGAGATTTTTTATTTTACATTTTAAATTATTATTCTAATATTATCAGATGTATCTACATTTTGAGTAGTCAAAAAATTTTATTTTCAAGTAGTTCAGTATTTAATAAAAACGGCTTGTTTCTTCATTGCAAAATATTTTGAAACATTGCTATATAACTTTTGGTATCAGTCATTTGTTTTCCAAGATTTTATGAAAATAACTTTTCTTAGTTTACGTTGATTTGGAAGTAGAGCCAATGAAATATTCAATCATTTTTTTCTCTCCATTGCAAAGAAATCATTGGTAATAATCACGTAAGTATTCAAGTAAATCTTAATTGTATTTTCTATTTCTATAAATATTAAATTCAATATAATTAAATGACATTATTAAGTTATATGCCCTACATAACATAATAACTTTTAAAATTGGTAAGTACTTAGTAGGTGATGCATTGCTGCATTCCATTCCCACATACATCGACACGTGTTAACGCATCAGCATTATTTTGCTACCGAGACCGACGACGCGACGTATCTAGAACGAAACTTGAAACGAATAATAACATTGATAAGTATTGTAACAAGCAGTTCTGCGAATTCTTACTTTATGATCCCACCATAGATTAGCTGTATTTGAAATTTTGAATTTACTTTATGAGATAAATGCATTATGTTTATTTATTGGTATTTTAATAGCGTTACATATCTTTATGAATAATAATTGAAAAAATGGCATTGATTAGGAGATTAATATTGTAGTGGTAAATATTACGATAAATATTACGATGATTTTGACGTATATAGAATGACGATACAGGTGTATTAAATATCTTTTGTGCCAACTGAGTGCATTAGTTACACCTAAACATATTGAATATAGAAAAAAAAGAGGTTGTGAATGCGATTGAAAAATAGCTTGCAGTATGACTGACTAGACTGAATTTGAGATGCAGGGAATACTTTAGTAAAATGTTTTGTTATGACATTGGACTGATCACCCAAGGTTAAACAACATCATTGATATTAAAGGATTCATTTTGATAGTAGTAAAGTGTGTGATAGCAAGTTTGAAGTGAATAGAATAATGAATGAGAAATTATATTGTGACAAAGATGATAGAAGTATGTAAAGACATGATAGAAGTATGNAGGTGTATTAAATATCTTTTGTGCCGACTGAGTGCATTAGTTACACCTACAAATATTGAATATAGAAAAATAAAGGAGGTTGTGAATGCGATTGAAAAATAGCTTGCAGTATGACTGACTAGACTGAATTTGTGAAGCAGGGAATACTTTAGTAAAAATGTTTTGTTATGACATTAGACTGATCACCCAAGGTTAAACAACATCATTGATATTATAGGATTCATTTTGATAGTAGTAAAGTGTGTGATAGCAAGTTTGAAGTGAATAGAATAATTAATGAGAAATTATATTGTGACAAAGATGATAGAAGCATGTAAAGACATGAAAGAAGTATGAGGTATAAAACGGTGTCGAATCCTTCAGTTTTGATCACGGTGTAAACGAGATTTCTCTGTGAAAACGGTTGAAGATAACTAAAAATCTTAAAAGAAGACCCGTTAATAAAATAATAAATAATTTATAAAGATAAATAAATGGTACAAGGTACAGTGTAGGGTACAGATCCTTCATTTGATCATGGTGCAGACGAGCTTCTCTCCGTGAAAATAGTTGGAGATCAAAATAAATAAATAAAGATCTTAAAACATGTCNGATCATAATAAAGAAAGATCTTAAAACATGTCCCTATAAATTATAAGACTATGCATAGCAAATGACTTAATGTCTAATAAAATATAATTAAAAGTCGACTATAAATAAAATAAAAAACTGTACCAAATATTATGAAAGTTTATAAAAATAAAGGGGCCGGCCCAGTGAAAATATTGTGTAATGGATATTATATTGACAAAATGATAATACATAAAAGGTACCTAATGAAGACTTATTTATAAGCTACGAGTTAAAATGACCGAGCTTAAAATGATCTTATATTAAGACAATGACTATGACTAAACTTATGATTATGAAGTATGAGTATGTAACGGATATCTGATAAGGATAAGGCTTATTGAGTGTGAAATTTTATGAGGAAATGTGATGCAAATCAATATGAATATGAAGTAACCAATATCATAAAGAAGAGTATTAATTTAAAAAGGAATGTTTCTGCCATTTCATTCACCTTTTTTAATATCTATAAAATCAAACACTACTTAAACTATTTAAAATGTCTTTATCAATTTAGTAGTAAAGTATTCTTACAACAAAACAATTATAGCTCCCAATGTATAGGATTATTTTACAATTTACTTAAAAAAAATGGGGTCATAAACTTAAAGAAAATCATAAACTATATTTTTATGATTCTATAAATTTTTAAAGTACCAATTACATTGTTNTTTAAATTACATAAATGTGAAATTCTATATAAAATTTGGTTTATCAGTTAATAACGAAATTATTCTAAAATTCTAAATTATTAAAATAACCAATGTATACTTTATACAGTCTCTACAATAATTGTTTTAATTGTAATTGCCTATATTTCAACTTGATTATTTTACTATTTTATTGGAAATTCAGTTCAGGTTCAAAAGCAGCAGGCTTTTAATTTTTATTGGCTGATATTGTGATGAAATTATTTAGCAATCTGTTAAAATCTTGATATTATTATAACAAAACAGTAACATAATAATGTTCAAAATCAATATTTTAAATATACCATTCTATTCCATCAATGTAAAATAATTCAAATTTTATCATATCTAAAAATCGTAATGTTCAACAGAAAATGTATTTTATCAATATAATTTCAATCATATTAATGAAATATTAGTAGTGTGTCTATAAACATACATATTTGGAATTTACAAAATTTAATTTGGTTTGAATTCTAATTTAAAATCAAAATTTTTATTGTATTGTATAATTTTTTTAATAAAAAAAAAAACTATCATTTTTTTTCTTCAAAAAAAGGGGGGAGGTGTAGTGTGTACGCATCCTTTCCCCATATTAGGCATAAACCACTAGTATATAAGCTTAGGATAATCTTCATTCTGACGGATTAAACCTACAGTGCGCACATCTAACTGTTTTATTGTGTCTCCCGAACGTCACACATTACAAGATTGTGACACCCAAAGTGGCTAAAAAAAGTGGACAACACAACCGTAACATACTTAAACGTGTTGCGAACTTTTTGACGCTGACTGTGTAGCCTAATATTTAAAATGCCTAGGATATTCTACTTACTTGAAATCCGCCAGCAACAACGTGAAGGATCTTGTCCTGCATCTCGCTTCATGGAAAGTATTGATTAGACCGAAGGTTTCGTGAGTTTCACCCAGAATCCATAACAGAAGAACTGGCTATCGTACCTATAATAAATTGCCGAAACACAACAATACTGTCAATACTGTTGTATGGCGGACTTCGAACAAGCCCTATCACCAACCAATTTGAGCAGAACTTTTTTTCATGAAATTGCTCCCGCTGGGAATCGAACCCGGGTGCCCTACGCTAGATCGGAGAAAGATGGTCTTACCACTAGACCGCACAGGCGGTTAATTTTAGGAAAAATAATGCGAAAATGTACTATCGGCAACAGTGTTAACTGCCCATGGCCAGTCATGTCATTGTTATCTCGTTCTATCGCAAAGAATCACCATTTGATTAGAGCGAGAGCAAAAACGGAAATGGACTTAGTTAACAGTGTGGCCGTGTGTACGTATGTCCACCTCAGAATGGTCTAGTGCCCACCCCAGGATTTTGGGATTCGAAGATAACTTGACAAAAAAAAAGTAACAACTACTTAATCCCGCCCATTCCAATGGCCATGCGTGGGCCATGCCATGGTAAGCTCGGAGCCAGACTCCAAATAATAATTATCCTAACTCACAGGTACAAAGAAAAGTTCGAATTCCTAAGTTAACCACTTTTTAATTCAATTAATTCAACGTAGTTTACTCAACCGTTAATCCTGATTGTTTTTAAAAAGATTGCATCAAGAAACGAGAAGTGGGTTGGACTAGTTAGGGTAAAAGTAGGATTATTTTCCTTAAAAAGTACTTCGCCATATAGTTATTTTGATTGCTATGTATTAACTTGCTGTGGATTTAATACATTCTCGATTTTCTCAACATTTTGAGTAATTTATAATCTATGCAAAAGATATTCTAAGAACGATCACCCAAAGCCAGAAAAGAACATCACTAAATTTAAAAAACAAAATGTCACTGAATAAATAAACATGGCCGCAGTGTGCATTGTTGTGTTGTGTCATTCTATTCATCTATTGTTACTTTGATATTATTTGTTTAGTGGTATAAAACAGCATTAAATCTTAATTTAGTTGCGAAATCGTTAACTAAAAGACGCACTTTGATAATATGAAGGTCGCAATATAAGAGCAAGTTTTTACACTCGGAGAAAGTGAACCAACTATTCAAGGTAACTTTTTATTGCATTAGTTTCCGTGTTATTTCCAACGTAATTATACAAACGATTGTCTTTTAAAGCTTCCTCAACGCTGTGCAGTAAGTTTTTCTGCCTTTCACGGTAGTTTCATGTGTGTGCGAGTCGTGGACAACTTTCTATCATCATTGTAACTTCCTTTGAAGTTCTGTCCTTACAAGGATGTTTTGTGCATAGTTTTCAATTGACTCACGGATTGTCTTGGAACCGTTAATTGATGCGAGCAACACTTATTAATGTTAATAATGGTATGTCGTATGTCTGACGACGCAAGAAAGTTGTTAACATAACAAATGTTTCAATCAATCTTTGTTGTTAAGCGTTTTTTTTGAGGTATGTCGTGATTTCTTGAATAAAAGTTTGAAACCAAACTTTTTATTTAACTTCTATATTTTTAATTGGATATCAAGTTTTAACAAAGATAATACAAAGATGTATTTTTAAAAATAAATTCCAAGAATAAAACTCATTTATTTCTGCAAATAGGCTTTAAAAAAGCACTTCTCAATCTTTTATTTAGTAGGCCCTAATCTTCGAATTATGACTTTAATTTAACATTAAAATTAAGTTTTATGTGTTTGGCGAAGGCCCATGTTTAGCAGTGGACGTCCTGTCTCCATAATAATCCTTGTATTGTATTTGCACTCAGACTTAGATATCTATACTAATATCATAAAGCTGAAGAGTTTGTTTGTTTACTTGAATGCGCTAATCTCAGGAATTACTGGTCCGATTTGAAAAATTCTTTCAGTGTTAGATAGCCCATTTATTGAGTAAGGCTATAGGCTATATACCATCACGCTACGAGTAATAGGTGCAGAGCAACAATTAAAAATGTTGCGAAAACGGGTTTTCATGCGTACGAAGTCGCGGGCACAGCTAGTTAGAATATAAAATACTTGACTGTTCTTATAAAAACTTATTCGAGCTAAGATATTAAAAGGCAATTCATGTTTCCATCTGTTTTTAGTACACCTGAATGAATCTACGAACAAAGCACAATGTCTCACGGACACGACGAGGGCCCTGTGTACTACAGGGAGATACAGAAAAATGCGTACCTTAAACGGATACCCAACGAGAGTGGCGGAAGCAAACTCAGGCCTCTGGGGCACAAGGTATGTAGACTTTTATTTATTTATTTAATATCTTTATTTATACACACACAAAAAAGCAGTACAGAGGCGAACTTAATGCCATGTGGCGTTCTCTACCAGCTAACCTTAGACAAAACAGAGAATTTGAGTAGGCGGTGCAAAATAGTAGGTACTTATACATAAAATTCATCTTTGTAAATGTTTGCTATAATAAAAAAAATATACTAATATTATAAAGCTGAAGAGTTTTTTTGTTTACTTGAACGCTGTAATCTCAGGAACTACCGGTCCGAATTAAAAAAATTCTTTCAGTGTTAGATAGCCCATTTATCGAGGAAAGCTATAGTTCTATATTGTATGTTTTATTTTGTATTCTGCCTATATTGTGTATTGTGCCAAATAAACAATATTCTATTCTATTCTATTCTATTCTATATACCATCATGCTACAAGTAATAGGTGCAAAGCAAAATGATTTTCACGCGTACACAGTCGCGGGCACTGCTAGTCCTTGATAAATTTTAAAATATCCTTGATAAATTTTAAAATATAATATTATAAATTGTATTTCTGGGAGGAATTTCAGAAACTTAAGGATCAAAACCATGTAAAGTTATTAAATCTCATTCTCCTAAAGTTGCATTAAAACTTTCTCACTGGAACTACAGAACGTTTTATGATTGGCAAAATAGACTGTTTTACAGACTAAAGTAAAAAAAAACTCCCCAAAAAAATGTTACAATAAAATAACCTAACGTCTACATACATAAATCAATTCTCGACTATTACTTACAAAATCTATGGAAATATTCTTATTACATTCCAGAAACCACCCCTAAAGCCAATGTGGACGTTATTCTGCGTCCATAACGGTCGTTCACCGTACCTGGAACAATATCCACTAGCGGAGAGTCCTGCTACACTATCACATAAGCCGGTGTGGAGGGCGTGTCTAAGGACCGCTAGACACGTGACGGCTAGTGTCAAACCACACTCGGGCTTGGAGTATGACTTCTTGATTGATACCGACCATGGACCTGTGAGGATGATTGCGCCAGATTGGTAAGTCTATACTAATAATACAAATGCGAAAGTAACTCTGTCTGTCTGTCTCTCTTTTATGCCTAAACCACTGAACCGATTTTGATGAAATTTGGCATAGAGATAGTTTGAAAAGGAAAGGACATAGGATAGTTTTTATCCCAGTTTTTGAAACAAGGACGCGCGTGAATAAGTTTTTCTGCGACTGACAAAATTCCACGCGGGCAAAGCCGCGGGTGGAAAGCTAGTTTAATATATTTTTTAAGTCGTGTAATCCTTAGTGCATGTGTAATGAATGGATTTAGCAGTGCCAGGGTTCGAACCCGCGTTCCTCAGACCGTAATTCCACGGATTCGAATCGAACGTAGTGCGAAATGTTGCGTAGTTTTATAGATCTAAGTTGCATAGTTTATAAGACAGCGGGAGCGATTTTGTTTGTATGTAACGATAAAGATATTTGGTTTTATAAAGCACTTATCATACTAAAATATTTATTTTCCAATGTGCGGACGACAGCACATTAACCTAAATACTGCAGCATTTTATACCGTTGCAATTAGGGCGAATATGCAACAAACGGACCAATGTTGTCCCGAAGTGGTGGTAGAGCTATTTGACTTTGACAAATTGAAATGATGTTGATTAAATAGTGACTGAGTTTCTTGCGCTGCTTTTCTCACCACCATATTATTATCCCGCACTAGTGGTTGGGTTGGGACTTGTAAAAGTGCTCTTTAAGGCCCAGAACACATGGTGAAACGCAACTGCAACGATACTGCAACTTCTAGTTACTTTTGAGTTGCATCTAAGTTTCTGCCATAGATTCCGTTGAGAGACCACACATGACCCGACCAGTTTGACCATTTCAAACCGGTTTCAAACCAATAGTCAAATTTGACAGATGTCAAATGACAAGTGGTTAAATATCAGAAAAAAATGTTTTTCGAAAAATGGTTAGCTTGACTTTTAGTGCATTTTTTAACTAATTGTTTACATTTTGTTAATATTTAATCATAAGTAGCAAAATTTAACAATTAGTTATTTTAACTATGAATAAAAAAACTGGGCCTAAGAGTCTACGTACAGAAAATAAACGAGTTTTTTTTATCCCAACAGGGAGTCGATGCAAGATTGGGTGACCACTCTCCGTAACAAGCTGCACGAGCTCCGTATCCTCTCTAAGGGCGAGAATGTGTACTGCGCCGCGCCCGCCGCCCCCGCCCCCCGCGCGGCAGCCAGAGATCCCACGTCACCGCTGCCGCCTACACCGCCTGTGCCGCCTGATAGGTGAGTAGCCCCTAGCTTCCTTCCTCTAAAAGTGCCCTCTAGCTCCCCCTACAGTGCCTCTTAGATCCCCCTTGATAGAGCCCCTTATTTCCCCTGATAGTGCCCCCCTAGCCCCCCTGACAGTGATCCCTAGCCCCCCTGACAGTGATCCCTAGCCCCCTGACAGTGATCCCTAGCCCCCCTGACAGTGATCCCTAGCCCCCTTGTCAGTGACCTCCCTAACCAACCACTAAGAGTGCCCTTAGTCCCTTCCTGACAGTGACATCTAGCTCTCACTGTCATACCCCATACCCCCTAACTTTTTCCATAGCCCCTTAACATTCCCCTAAGCCCCCTTACATCTGCCTTAATCCCCCAACTAGTAGTCCCTTGGCTCCTCAGACAGTATCCGACTATTAGACACCCCTCACCACCTCGACCAGTAGAGCCATAAGAGCAGCCTCTAGCAGTAGCCCGCTCGAGCTGCGCATCCTGTCCAACGTGTAGCATCCTCCACCAATAGAGCATCCTCCACCGAGAGTAGCCTCTATAACAGTAGCCCTCCCGCTAGTAGTCTCCTGTTAGTCAGTAGCCCGCACGAGCTCCGTATCCTCTCTAAGGGCGAGAATGTGTACTGCGCCGCTCCCGCCGCCCCCGCCCCCCGCGCGGCAGCCAGGGATCCCACGTCACCGTTGCCGCCTACACCGCCCGTGCCGCCTGATAGGTGAGTAGCCCCTAGCTGCCTTCCTCTAAAAGTGTCTCCATGACAGTGCCCCCTAACCCCCTGTAAGAGTGCCCCTTAGCTACCCTAACAGTGACCCTTATCTCCCCCTGATAGTGCCCCCCTAGCCCCCTGACAGTGACCCCTAGCTCCCCCTACAATAACCCCTAATAGACCTCAAGCTCCCTTAGCTCCCCCTACAGTGAATGCCAGATCCCCCCTAGGGGCCACTCCCCTAGTATCTCCCTGACAGTGGCCCCCTAACCCCCTGTCAGTGACTTCCCTAGCCACTAAGGATGCCCTTAGTGCCTCTTACATTCCCCTAGCCCCATCTCCCTGAAAGGCCCCTAACCCCCTGACAGTGACCCTGAGCTCTCACTGACATTTTCAGTAGCCCCCTAGCATTCCCCTAAGACCATGCCAGTAGTCCCTTGGCTCCTCAGTTAGTGGCCGACTATTAGACACCCCTCACCACCTCGACCAGTAGAGCCATAAGAGCAGCCTCTAGCAGTAGCCCGCTCGAGTTGCTGTCCAACGTGTAGCATCCTCTACCAATAGAGCATCCTCCACCGAGAGTAGCCTCTATAACAGTAGCCCTCCCGCTAGTAGTCTCCTGTTAGTCAGTAGCCCGCACGAGCTCCGTATCCTCTCTAAGGGCGAGAATGTGTACTGCGCCGCTCCCGCCGCCCCCGCCCCCCGCGCGGCAGCCAGGGATCCCACGTCACCGTTGCCGCCTACACCGCCTGTGCCGCCTGATAGGTAAGTAGCCCATAACAACCCCCCCCAAGACTCTAGCAAACCCCTAGCTCTTCTTGACAGTGATCCCTAGTCCCCAGGTAAGTAATCATCAGTACCCCCTCCTGACAATGCCCCTAAATTTCAGAAAGTAGCCCCCTAGCAAACCCCTAGCTCTTCTTGACAGTCGATCCTCCCTGATAGCGGCGCTTATCCCGCGTCACCGTTGCCGCCTACACCATCTGTACCGCCCGATAGGTAAGTAGATAATTAGTGCCCCCTAACCCCCTCTAGTAAACCCCTAGCTCTTCTTAATAATGCCCCCTAGCCGCTCGACAATGCCCCCTAGCACCTTCTGATAGTGCCCCTTAAACCTCTCTGACAGTGCCTCCTAGCCCCTCTGTCAATGCCCCTTTCTAACTTGACAGTGCCCCCTTTCTACCTTGACAGTGTCCCCTTACTACCTTGACAGTGCCTCCTAGTCCCTCTAACAATGCCCCTTACTACTTGATAGTGTCCCCTTACTACCTTGACTGTGCCCCTAACCCCCTTGTCAGTGACCTCATAGCCACTAAGAGTGCTTTTAGTCCCTCCCTGACAGTGGCCCCCTAACTCCCTGTCAGTGACCTCCCTAACCAACCACTAAGAGTGCCCTTAGTCCTTCCCTGACAGTGACACCTAGGTCACATGTCATTTACCCCATACCCCCTAACATGTCTCGTAGCCCCTTAACATTCTCCTAAGCCCCCTTACATCTGCCTTAATCCCCCAACTAGTAGTCCCTTGGCTCCTCAGTCGGTATCCGACTATTAGACACCCCTCACCACCTCGACCAGTAGAGCCACGAGAGCAGCCTCTCCGCAACAAGCTGCACGAGCTCCGTATCCTCTCTAAGGGCGAGAATGTGTACTGCGCCGCGCCCGCCGCCCCCGCCCCCCGCGCGGCAGCCAGGGATCCCACGTCACCGTTGCCGCCTACACCACCTGTACCGCCTGATAGGTAAGTAGCCCATAATAACCCCCCCTGGTCAGTAGCCCCTCTAGCAAACCCCTAGCAATCTTCAATACACCGTTTATTATGACAGTGCCCCCTAAATCCCTGCAAACCCTTAGCTCTTCTTGACAGTGATCCCTAGCTTCCACCTGACAGTGATCCCTAGCTTCCCCTACAGTGACCCTTAGCCCTCCCTGATAATGCCCCATAGTCCCCCTGATAGTGACCCCTAGCTCCCCCCCTGATAGTGCCCCTTAGTCCCTCCCTGACAGGGTCCCCTAAACCCTCCTGACAGGGTCCCCTAGACCCTCCTGACAGGGTCCCCTAGACCCTCCTGACAGTTCTCCCTAGCCCCCCTGTCAATGACCCCTAGCTCCCTCTACAGTGGCCCCTAGCCCCCCCTGATAGTGCCCCCCTAATAATGCACCCTAATTCCCCCCCTTAACAGTGCCCTCTAGCCACTGAAAGTTTCCATTAGCTAGTTTGACAGTAACTCCTTAGCCCTTTGAAATTCTTGAGAGTGGTCCCCTCCAAATATCAGCCGACTATTAGACACTCCAACCAGTAGAGCCATGAGAGCAGCCTCTCCGCAACAAGCTGCACGAGCTCCGTATCCTCTCTAAGGGCGAGAATGTGTACTGCGCCGCTCCCGCCGCCCCCGCCCCCCGCGCGGCAGCCAGAGATCCCACGTCACCGTTACCGCCTACACCACCTGTACCGCCTGATAGGTGAGTAGCCCCTAGCTTCCTTCCTCTAAAAGTGCCCCCTTAGTCCTTCCTAACAATGTTTCCTAGCCCCCTCTGACAATGACCCCTTGCTCCCCCTGATAGTGCCCCCTAGCTCCCCCTGATAGTGCCCCCTAGCTCCCCCTGATAGTGCTTTCCTAGCCCCCTGACAGTGACCCCTAGCTCCCCCTACAACGACCCCAAGTAGACCCCTAGCTCCCTAGACGGTGCCCTCTAGCCTCTGACAGTGCCCCCTATCCCACTGACAGTGACCCCTAGCTCCCCCTACAATGACCCCAGANCTCCCCGCCTGACAGTGACTTCTCTAGCCACTGAAAATTCCCTTAGTACCCCCCTTACCCCATTAGCTAGCTTGACAGTAACTCCTTAGCCCTTTGAGACTCTTGAGAGTGGTCCCCTCCAACAGTAGCCGACTATTAAACACACCAATACTATCACCAAGACATTTTCCATAGCCCCTTAACATTCCCCTAAGCCCCCTTACATCTGCCTTAATCCCCCAACTACACTCGCGAGCAAAAGTATGGAATCACTTACATGAAGTTGTTTCCACGCGATCTTGTGTACTAACGAATTTGTTAGGAACAAACAAAGTGGCACCATTTTAAAGATTAAACTTTTATCTTCAAATTGATACCAAATTCATTTAAATCACACCAGTATTTAAAAAGATATCCCGGCTGATGTGAAGAAGTAACGAAAAAGACATGTATGAACTGTTTGATACGTCGCGAGTTGCGGCCTATTTACCCCCTATAAAAGCACGCGTTTTCGGATTTTTGGTTTCACACGTTGATTCATACACATCTCCGCTTCTTTAGACACTTTTCCTGGGATTCTATACCTTCAGAAGCAGCACAAATCGTTGCACTATTGCAAGAAGGGCTCAGCCAGAGGGCTGTCGCACGTCAGCGCCACATAAGCCAGTCCTGGGTTTCGAAAGTTTTAAGACGCTTTCGGGAGACTNTGCACCCTAATTCCCCCCCTTAACAGTGCCCTGTAGCCCCCCCTCCCTGCCTGACAGTGACTTCCCTAGCCACTGAAAGTTTCCGTTAGCTAGTTTGACAGTAACTCCTTAGCCTTTTGAGACTCTTGAGAGTGGTCCCCTCCAAATATCAGCAGACTATTAGACACTCCAACCAGTAGAGCCATGAGAGCAGCCTATCCGCAACAAGCTGCACGAGCTCCGTATCCTCTCTAAGGGCGAGAATGTGTACTGCGCCGCGCCCGCCGCCCCCGCCCCCCGCGCGGCAGCCAGAGATCCCACGTCACCGTTGCCGCCCACACCACCCGTACCGCCTGATAGGTAAGTAGCACGTAGCTCTCTTCCTGAAAAGGCCCCTAGCCCCTCGACATCGACCCCTAACCCCCCCTGACTGTGCCCTTTTGCCCCCTGACAGTGATCCCTAGTCCCCCCTGACAGCGGCCCCTAGCCCCCCTTGATAGTATCCCCTAGCCCCCTGACAATGCCCCCTAGGCTAGCCCCCCTGATAGTGCCCCCCAAGCCCCCTTGACAGTGCACCCTAGTTCCCCCCCCTTAACAATGCCCTCTAGCCTTCCCTCCCCGCCTGACAGTGACTTNTCTAACTTGACAGTGCCCCCTTTCTACCTTGACATTGCCCCCTTTCTACCTTGACAGTGCCCCCTTTCTACCTTGACAGTGCCCCCTTACTACCTTGACAATGCCTCCTAGTCCCTCTAACAATGCCCCTTACTACCTTGATAGTGTCCCCTTACTAGCTTGACAGTGCCCTCTTACTATCTTGACAATGCCCCTTACTACCTTGTCAGTGACTTCCCTAGCCCTTAGTCCTTCCCTGACAGTG